ACGTATATGGCAAATTTACAAGCCCGAATCTGACCGGTTATATGAGGGCGCTTACACTGATGGCAAGTCTGTTGGGATTTCGCGGTCACATGATTTTCGTGTTCATCCCGACCTTTGTTTACGCAATTTATATTTATTTGTCATGAATTTTTCATCGGAATGGCAACAGACTGCAAGCAAGTCAATCTATGCTTATGAATTCGTGAAATTCACATCTCATGTGTTGTCATCGAGAATATTTCCATATCAGTATGGATATGTTTTATATGGTAGTGGAATTTCGTCGAGCCACGAAATGCAGAGGCGACACTGAAATGGAGGAACAATCTTCCACAACGTTTCAAAAAGGTTAATAACAACGTGCGCGCCATGGCATGCACCGTGATAGGTTGCATTTTCTTATTAGTAGTCGAATTCAAAGTCAATACATCCGCCATTGCACTGATGGCTGACGCAAATATTCTAATAATTGGTTCACAATACACTCGGGAATAATATTTAAATATAGATTCAAACATTCAGTAGAAATGCTTGGAGTGTCCCCAGGGAACAAAGAAAAGAGTGTACCCTTCACTAAATATGTTTGTCAAGATATTCCCAGTAAGCGCGTGGCGGCGCTCTTTAAAACACTTATTTAAAATATCAGTAGACGATCACCTGTGACGGTCCTTGCAAGCTCGCGTCTTTGAATCTCAAATAACGTTGTATACTTTATTCCGAACACGTTTGACCGTCATTTACTATTGTGGAGTACTATAAATATATACACTACCAAAATCATGATTAATCTTCTATCCTCAGGGGCGGAGCTACGTCACAAGACGTCCCACGTTGCTAAGACGCGCATCACTGTACCATGTATCTCTATGGGCTCTGCGCGAGTTGGTGTGGAACGCCGGTCAAAAGGCCGGTGCAAAATAGCTAAATTCGGGAAAAAATCTCAAAATCGAAATTGAAGTAATCCCGAATTTAGCTTCGTGGCAATTAAATTCACCAGATCCCAAAATTATATATGTTGGACATGCAGGGATAATCTTGTTACACTGTCCAGAGCCCAGGAGTCCCAACAACCATCCCAAAGTACCGTTTTCTGAAAGTTTCCGGCCTTTGTTTTCATCTAGATGGTTGCCTTGCGGTGAAAATGACGGATGTCCGCCTCCGAGAATTAATGATAAAAAAATGAACTAAACCCCACCATTTAGGTTCTTAAGAACGACGATTATAGTTTAAATAAAATTGGCCAACATCAGATCAGCTCAAACTTGGCTTATCTAAATAATGAAATATCGGACATTTGTATAATTTATTTAAAACTCAATAGTTGAACAAATTTTAAATGCTAAATATGAAAAAAATTTCAAAGTACGAACATCCTAGCATATTTAAATCTCGGTTCACACATTATGTGCTTTTCAAATATCGCCTGGCCGTTATTTGACATGTTAAAGCGGGAGGGTCGTCAACTGCGAACGCGCGGGAATTGAGTCCCAAGCGACGATAACAACACACGCTAAAAACGCAAAGGCTCATGGGTAGACGCTTGTTTGTAAACAAAGACACGCTACGGCCATCTGACGCATGCGCAGGTGAACGTGATTTTATCCCTATTAAACATAGTATAACAAGAATAACAATTATTGAAACATTTAATTTTTGTATTTGTGTCATCATTTCTCATGTTCAACGATACAACAAATCGTATATTTTTATCACTTATTGTCAAAGGGCGTTTTTAATTTTGTGTGAAAGAATTATAGAAGTTAACTAGCATAACGTATTAGCGTATGTGCACTAAAATGATTTGAGGCACAATTTGATAAGATGAAAACAAAATAAAAAAGTTATACCACAGCGGCCAACATCGCGACGTACGTGTGTAATACATACTTTTCCAACAATACTCGATGAAATGAGGTAACTTTGTTACCTCGTTGTTGGTGTGGAGCCCGATTTGGTTAATTCGAAATAGCAAACGACTCTACTGCTAAAGCAATTAGTAAAATACATCTGTACGCCATGTCAGTTTTAGGCAGGCATATCATAACATTATAAAGTGAATTGTCTTATACAATTCCACTCTCAATTAGGAATAACTGTCTTTGTAGAATAATGACAATATTGTAATTATTCCACACAAATTTGTTTTTCTCAATTGTAGTTACTCGGATAAAAAAAGAAAAAAACACAATTCAAATATGACAATGCAAGGTATAGATATGATGGTATGCCAGTGTATTATTGCTTCCTGCTATTAAAATATGTTCAATAATTTTTAAAAATTTCAAAGGCTATTTATCTTTCCAATCGTGATATGTCGTATCTAGTATAAAACCAAGTTGACGCGTATATGAGGACACGTATGCCTTCTAATAACCACATTATAACATGGTTAAATATATTTGATGACAACATACATTAAACAATGCCCACTCGCGCCTAAGTACACACGTTTTTGGGTCACCATTCAGACTTTAAATAATAAAAAAAATATTTCAATTTCCTTTTCAGGATTTTTAATTGAAAACAGGGAAACTCTTCATAGTTAGCAATAGCCCAACAAATTAAACCCTTAGTGTATATTTTTGCTGCCCATCCAAACAGTGACTCGTTAACATGCCCATTTCTCTTTAAATTATTTGTAACCAAGTTTGTAGCGCGAGCATCCATTCCCGTATCGGCAACGAAGGTTGCACAGTTTATGCAGGTAATTGGTGATTTGTCATACACAAAACACTGTGCATATATTATTATGGAAGTAGTTGTTTTTAACAATATATAATATTTATGTCATGTTTTTCTACTTGATATCGACACAAATCATGTAGTTAAAGTTATGATAGTTAAATATATAATACATCCACCTACACAAATTATGTCCTGATTCACAAAACTGACAACTCACGTGGGATTCCATGCAGTGTCCTTAATATTATAACTCACATGTTATGTGTTGAAGATAGACAACCTTGTGTTTCCTGTTATAAATCAAGAAAATACACATTTTAAATTAAGTTGAGATATAAAACATGTTACAATCAGTTTGACATTAAGAGGCAAATATACAATATAATACACACAGAATAGTTTGTTTGTCACGCAGAAAACATGGGCACAGTATGTTAATAGCATTATACTTTCTGTTTTTCTATTTGCTTTTCCGCTATTCTATTAATCTATTGTTACCTAGATATAATCACATGTAAAAGTATCAGTTACATAATAAACTTTATATTATTTGTGTTTCTATTAAAACACGCTGGTACCTTTTTTAGTATTAATCGTCCCTAACTGACCAAACCGCATTACCATAATGAGATTGTATGTCACTACGATAAAGACTTTGCATTTTCGTCATTGTGAAATACTTCCATTTTGTTAGAAGAAAATACAATATTTTTAACAAATAAAATCATATTTGTTAAAGTTGTTGCCCATACATGTGGTTTTGAACACGCTACATAGTTTATAATTTCATACGACTGCTTTCAGTCATAATGCAGGACAAATGTAACGCGGACATATTGAGAATATGACAAATTATGTTTTATCTTTAATATTCATGTGTAATTATGAAAATTATTATTGGTTTGTTTAAAAAATATATTTCGCTATGAAATATTCTTAAAATATTGTAGTTCACTTGTCAAAGACAGTTGTTTTCAGCCCCTCCCCCACCAAAACAAAATAATTTCACAATATTAAAAATGGAAATTCTACAACAAAGTGTTTCAACATACCCGAATTGTATTGCTTGTTTCATACATAAAGTATTTAATATGTAGATGAGTTGATAATACCTTTGTTCAATTACATACAATAAGACATAAACATACGGGTATCTACATTTATTATTAGATCATTTTCTTTAACATTGTTTCTATAGCCATTCAGAATATGTCCTTCAAATGAAGCAACGATAACAACTGTATCAATAAATATTTCAAACATGACGCAAACTTTATCCGAATACTGGTATGTGACGTCACTCATAGTAGTCACTCTTGACTTATAAATAAGAAAATGGGTGCAATTGTTAACACCATATCTCGTTTGTTAGCAGCGAAGATGATTTCCATGTATTTCAAAGTGTGCATTTTTTTTGCAGTGATCGTGGTAAGTAAATGACCGTCTTTTTCTTGATTTGATGCTTGGGTTCCCATTATACCTTATACCGACAGCCTTAAATGCATGGGGTTTCCTTATGCCTACGACATCCTTAATTGAATGCATGGGTTTTCCTTATACCAACGACATCCTTAATTGAATACATGGGTTTTCCTTATACCTACGACAAACTTTACTTCGTGCTTGGGTTCCCCTTGTACCTATGGTAGCCTTAATTAAATGCCTGAGTTCTCCTTATATCTACGGCAAACTTTACTTCGTGCTTGGGTTCCCCTTGTATCTATGGTAGCCTTAATTAAATACCTGAGTTCTCCTTATATCTACGGCAAACTTTACTTCACGGCGGAAATAGGATGCTAAAGTTATATTCGTATAGACAGAGCATAGAAGCATTCATACCAATCACATTACGATGTATAGACTGTGGCGCATTCACAATTACAAATTATTAAATTATGAAAATTCTTTTTCAGCTTTGTACCCCACTCCCGACATTAAGTAAGTATACCGGCGATATTTATATAGAATTTTTTACATGTTTTCGTTTTCATCCAATGATTCAGTGTTGATATACTGCTGACATGTGCCTGGTTTATTTATCTCCATTTGGAAGTTCGTTGTCTAAATCGGGTAATGTCTTGTTGTGTAAATCACCAAGAACATCATTCAGCTGACATGAAATACTATTTTCTATCAATAAAATGTACCAAATAACCCATGATATGCCGATCCTGTTGCGTCATGATATTCATTCTTACACTGATGGCTATCTAGGTAATACTTCTAAGCGAGGTCTACAGGAAGACCCATCGATGTGTGGCGGGGCGTACAGTCTGATATGCAATGACCGTATACTCTGTGTGAAGCCATCCCAGCTCTGTGACGGCCTGAACAACTGCAAGGATGGAAGCGACGAAGAGGACTGTGGTAATGATGAAATTTGTCTTGTTCTGTGAATGGAGTATGCGATCAAATCATTTCCCATGTGTATATTTAATATTCATTTCATAAATTATACACTCAAACTTAATCAGGGCTGCCTATAGGGTCATTGACATCATGCCAGTCTATAGGAGAATATCAGGCGCACACATTGCACGATACCGTATTTCTACATATGCATTTATGCTCAGCAGCTGCACAATTCTAGTCCCGTTATGTATTCAGATCCAATTTAGGTATAACATTAATTCATGTAGTGTTATTTACAGTAAAATTGTATCAGATTATTTTTTTGAGTGAAATTGTCTGGATTGGATCCATTTTGAGCAAAAGTATTTGGAAAGCAGTCTGAATATGTCAACTAAGAACAGATTATATATTTATTGGCTAACTAGGCCCCATCTACTAGGTGAATAATGGATAAATAATGTGTTATTTTTGTTTACGCTTTCTGGTAGCTGACAGTGGTAGTGATAGTTGTCAGGAAAATAGCGACACACGCAAAACCCAGGGAGTATGCACCAATCCTACCGGTAACTCGAAATGTAACACTGGCTTAGATGACATCATTCAACAGATGCTAAACGCTCACAACTTCTACCGTTGTTTGCATGGCGAGGGTTCTGCTAGCATGACCTTGTCTGATGAACTCAATAATTACGCACAGGACTATGCTGATCACCTGGCTAGCACCGGAGTTGTAAAGCACAGCAACGACCGCGGCGAAAACCCACCAGATCGTGGTGAGAATCTCTGGGCAGGTTCTGATGCTTCTCGCTGGACAAGCTATGACCAGTTTACAGGTAAGATTAGCCCATCTATGTGAGCATCGGACAAGGTCTTGAACCTATCTATTACAGCATTCACACAATTTCTGGAAATTTAAAATTGAAATGGACTATTTGATATATTCCATTATAGTATTCGCCAATATCAGAAAATATTCGAGGATTTAAAAAACATGTATTAATTTAAAATCACTGCACTTTCTTATTATTGGCTGAGTGAAAAGTTCTATCAGAAAATTCCTGCCAAGTGCTTTTTTAGCAGCAATCATACACAACTTGAACGAATGTGATTCAAACAAGCGTTGTTTTTGGTAATTACAGGTGAGCCAGCTGTCGCTGATTGGTACTCTGAGGTGGCTAATTACGATTTCTCCACAAACAGTGCCAAGCCAGGGAAGACTGCAGGTAAGCTGTGACAAGTATTGATGATGGTGATGGCGATGAAAATTTGTAACCTGTTTTTAGCTCCGCTGTCGAATTTGACACTCATAAGAGTGATTGTCTGTTGTCGTCCGTCGCCTGTGTCAACTTTTTCTTTTTCGATTTTTTTCTTGAAAACTACGATTCTTATTGATTTGATACTTTGGTGTATACGTGCATATACAGACCTCTCTTAGATTTGTTCATTCCGTGATGATATCTTCAATTCTTTAATTTTGATGAATATTTTTGTCATTTTTGGTAAAAAGTGATATTTTCAACTTCTTGTTAAAAACCGTTAATCAGATTGCTTTGACATTATACACATATATGTCCCTCATGTAAACTTCTCTCAGATTCGTTCATTTTTCAATGATATCATCAGTTCTTTAGTTGAAATGTGTATTGCTGGTGCTGCTTGTATTGTTATTTTCACCTATCATGTATATTGTCAAAACATAGATTGATTAAGTAGTTAATACTAAAATAAATATTGTATTGTCAATTACATAGTGGAAATATAATACTATAACCCCGACTTGTCGAAGACATAAAAATCTTTCTCCCGTATTGATTTAACATTTTTTGAGAATGAGTTCTTTACGTTTATTACCACAACGATATACCGAAACATGTATCTATACAAATATTGAATAGTAATATTATTTACACATAACACAACGTTTTGTTACACATTACTTGATCTATTCCAGGGCATTTCACTCAAGTAATTTGGAAAGCAAGCACCGAGTTGGGCTGTGGTGTCGGAACATCCGAGAAACCATGGGGACCGAAGTTCTTCGTCGTCTGTCAGTATAGAGTAGCGGGAAATATTTTCGACTTCGCCACCAACGTACCTGCACCCTTATAATTACTACCTCAGATAACCGGACTATATCTATAATATATTCCGGTCAGGTCAACCAATTACGTGTATGTGATGTGATTACAAACCAATTATCACGTTTAATTTATAGTATTTTAATTCACAATACCTCAAACCTGATTAAAGTTGTAAACCTTATTCTCTATCTAATGTCATTTGTTGATTAAAGGTGATACCCAGATTCGTTGTTTTGTTTGACTGAGCTTTGTTCTTTTTTAATCTATCCTCAAACCCCTATAAATGTACGACAATTTCAAGGCAAAAATGCAAGGTGTTCATGGATTCCAGGTTGTTGCTCCTTTAGTACAAAATTGAAAATAACATGGCTTATGATAACAAACTTCGTAATTTATGCATGAATTCCGCCGAGGTTGTCATAAAATGATGGGCACGTAATACTAAACATAGATACATCCATATACTGAAGAGTTGCATTCAAAATTATGTCCTCGGTATAATTGTCAGTATAATTGTCTGCCTCAATTTATATTTGTTTAAACAGAGAAAAATGCATAAAAATTAAAAGCAGAGTTTTAAAATTCAAGCCATTCATAACGCAACACGATTAACTATTATATGATCGTATGAGATCAATATCATGTTTATTCAATTATTTCAGCGTTTAATACATATGAGCTTTGTACCACAACACTGATGCACTCCGTTCACTGAACTTCTATCTATTAAGCCATGTTAATATGTATGTATTGTACCAACTTTATGACTTAAACAGTTGCATGGTTACCTTCTATAATAATATAATATACTAACAGTGATAATAACCGGTCATTGAACTCAATGTCTTCACTGTCTAATAAAGCTATGTTAATATCTTTACGCTTTGTCACCTTTCTGACTTTACTCAAACAGTTGTATGATTACCATCTATAGTACTATATTACACTAACAGTGATACTAACCGGTCATTGAACTCACTACCTTATACAGCTATGTTAGTATATAGCGAATAGTGTACAGGATTCACGTTACTCAAATACTATTGCAATCACTATCAATAATAGTATACACAACAATGATACAATCTTATATGTGTTGGTGTAATTACATAGATAAATTGTAAAAAAAAGTGGGTATGAAAAGGTGAAATTTGTTTATTTGTGTGGCATAAACGTTGTTTAAACTTTGTTTAAATAGTCAGAACCAATGTTTTCTTCACCTTTTATTGCTATGATGTGGTAGCTGAATGATTGCAAATATAGGGCTGTCAGGATAAAACTGAATCTTTATGATTGTTTTTCTATGTTTGCGATCGAGGTTGAATGCAATGAATTCTTATGCAAATTTTGACAATTTGAGAAACGACTTTCGTGAA